AGTTCTTGTTCCTTATGATCTTCCGACTCTGATCATCCCATAAACGATATCCAAATGTCTCATCCCCATAGCCAATGAAATAACACTTTCTTGACTTAGCCTTAAGCTTATTACGAGCATCAGGATTAATGAGAATAATGAGAATATATAAGAACGACAACCAAAAGTCTTAATGTGAGAAAATTTTTCATTTTTCCCACTCAAGACTTCTTCAGGTAATTCACAGTTTAATGGAACAGATGGCCCCCTATTGATCAAATAAACTGCAGTACTAACTGCTTCTGCCCAGAAAGTAGGTGGTATTCTGGCGTGCAATCTCATGCTTCTAGCCCGCTCATTAATGGTTGTATTCATGCGCTCTGCAACACCATTTTGCTTTGGTGCTCCTAGAGTGGTCTTCTCCATTCTGATTCCCTGAGCTGCACAGTACTCCTTAAACTCATCATTAATGTACACACCACCATTATCAGACCTCGGACATTTCACCTTTAAGCATGTCTCTGTCTCAATCATAGCCTTCCAAGTCTTGAACACACTGAATACATCAGATTTATACTTCAAGAAATAAACACATACAACTCTGTTTTGATCGTCAATGAATGTGATGTAGTAACGAGAGCCTCCAAGAGATGCCATTGGAGAAGGTCCCCACACATTTGGAGAAGGTCCCCAAGGTCCCCACACATCTGTGTGTACAAGATCTACTTTCCTGCCTTTGGCGTTCTACCACTTTTCAAGAAACTGACCTTCATCTGCTTCCCCATAATGCAACTCTTGCACATGCTTACATCAACTAACTTCAGTTCTGGTAGCTTGCCTCTGGACTGAAGTTTCTTCATACCTCTTTGACTCATGTGGCCAAGTCTGCAATGCCACAACTCTGCTGTGATCTCTGCAACAGTAGTATCAACACTGTTAATTAAACCAATAGTCATATACAATGTACATGTTTTCTTACCCTGAGCTAGTATCAATGCTCCTTTAATAACCTTCCAGGTACTATCTGAGAAAACTACTGAATATCTACATTCATCTAGATACCTAACAGAAATGAGATTCTTCTTCAGTTTAGGAATGTGTCTGACCTTTTGCATAGTCCACTTGTTTTTATTTGGAAGTGCAATGTCAATATCTCCCATTCCTACCACGTTCAGAGCTTCTCCATCTGCCAAATATACTTTTTTAAAGTCACCTGCAACATAATTCTGCATCAATTCCCAATGGAAAATTGTATGGAACGAAGCTCCTGAATCCAGTATACAGTCATCAACAGGACTATGAACTGTCAGCAGTAGTGCATCATGTGATTCTTTAGTTACCACATTTGCACTGTCAATCTCCTTCTTTTTAAGATTCTTGCAGTTCCTCCTTATGTGGCCAGTTTTCCCACAATTCCAGCAAGTTACTTGTTTACCAGGCTTTGACTTGCTCCTGCTTCTGTTCTTTGATTTTGATCTTCCCCTATTTGAGTTTCTGTTAAGTGATCTCCCTCAGTGATCTCCCTCTGGAATCCTCTGGAATCAACATTTAGTGCCGAACTCGAACCTGAGATCTTGCCAGAATCTTTTCTGCTCACCTCCTCAGCCAAAAATCAAATCACGAATATCTTCAAATTTCAATTTAAATTTACCTGCAGAATTAATGACAGCCATCCTCATAGCTTCCCATTTATTTGGCAATGAAACCAACAAGATCAGTGCACATATCTCATCATCAAATTCAATTTCCACAGATAATAATTGATTTGTGATGGTATTGAAATCATTCAAGTGTTGTACAACAGACGTACCTTCCACCATCTTCAAATTGAATAACTTCTTCATCAGATATACCTTGTTATTTACCAATGGATTTTGATACGAACCTGACAGGGCTGTCATAATATCTGCAGTCATCCTCTCCTTGACGACGTTGTGTGCAACGGACCTCGATAGGGTCAATCGAATAACCCTCAGAACATGTCGACCCAACAGATTCCATTCAGTCTCATCGATTCTTTCAGGTCTTTTCCCTAATAACGGAAGATGTAGTTTCTTCCCATAGAGGTAGTCTTCTATCTGCATCCTCCAATAACCAAAATCTGTGTCATCGAACTTCTCGATCCCTGAAACCTTCACTTCGTCTGTAGTCATTGGCTCTGATACTAGTTGTTGTGGTGTATATGAAATTTAAAACGACCGACGACGAAGTAAAAAATAGCACGAGAGAGAATCACACCAGAAAAGAACACACAGATTTACGTGGTTCGGCAAATTTTCTACATCCACGGAGTTGCAGAGGATTAGACTAATTGAGAAAATTTACACCAATTTGATCACAGCGACAATTACAAGATTTCTCACTTGCACTTTCTCTTTACACCAAGATTCACCCAAGAGTAAGAACACCGAAGAAGAAGAAAAATATACAAGAGAAAGCATGTTTCTCTTCGGCCACAAGTCACCAAGAACAACACTTTCTTCTTCACGATCTTCTTCTTCCTTCTTCTGCTTCCCGTAAGTCTCAAGAAGAATCCAAAGGAGAAATCTTCTTTCTGTTTCACGAACTGAAGAAATCGAAGCAGCGACCTGCAGCAACAAGAGAGACGGAGGTTCGCGAACTGAAAGAGGTGAGCAGGGTTTTTCCAAATCGGGAGCGAGAGTTTCGCGAATATGGGAGAGGCGGAGGCAGGAGCAGTTTCTTCGTTCGCTGAAAAAAAATAGGAGCGGGAGTTGGAGGTTACGGCATTTTATTTTACCTTTCCTCTTTTTTTTTTAATTTTCGTAACGGGCTCCACACTCAACAAATATGTTTAAAAGTCATTTAATGATACATGTGCTGCATGTATGTGTGGTAGGTGTGGTAAGTGAAGAATGAATTATTGAGATTTGTTCGGTTGGTGACTAATGTGTGATATTGATTATTTCTAAACTTGTATAAATAAATCGTCATTTTATTAGTTATGACTCAAGAAAAGTTTTGTGAGCATCTAAATAGAATTTTTGTGTGGCGGAGAGTTGTATTATGTGATTTTGAGTTTATAGAAATTTTAATTTTATCCCATCATTTATGCATTACATTCATTTCAAAGCAAATAAAAAAAAATTTAGTATCCATTTTTCTGGCTCAATTTTTTTTCCTACCCACATATCAAATATCTTAGAATTTAAAATTGACCGAATTAATAATCAGTCAGTTTGAGTGTTAAAAAGCGAATTGAATGCCGGCCCATTTTCATGAAAACGGACTCGACCTAGTGTTTGCATAAAATTTGGAGCTATATCGTCAAAAAGAAAAAAGAAGAAAAGAAAAAAAAAAGGGAAGCCGGCGGAATAGCTAAAGCTAAAACCACGCATTCGTCCATTTTATTCTTGATGACCATATAGACAAAAGAAAAATCTTTTAGAACAATTCCTGGAAAATATTTCAGCGTCTTCTAAGGTAGGAAATCACAAGGACGGTCTGGCAACCGGAGGCAACAATCTGCGCGTACTCCACCAGTTACATGAAAGCAAAACACAAAACTCATGCTTTTAATCCTTTAGCTTCGACGTATAGTTCATCAATCACGTCCTGCAAGCATTACAAACCACTCTTATTTATCAGCAATGTTACTGATTATATTGAGTAAAAGCAAACCAAAACTCATTCATTTCAGTAATTAATGACCTTGTAGCATTTGATCAACTGTGCTCTCTTCAACTTGAAAGTTGGAGTTATTAGGTCTCGCTCCATGTCAAATGGCCTTGATTCTAAATGTACTGCTTTCAGCAATTCAAAGCCTCGCAGCTGCATTAGATGACAATATGCTAAACCAACCATAAACGGTACGTCAATTAATTTGCAATTCAAACGCATACTTACTCGGTGCATCTGACCAGTCTTATTTAGCTGTTTAAGTACATACTCTCTTGCTTTGTGATGCTCGCATAATTCCTCGAAGCTGCCTGCCGTCACTTGATTAGATTCTGCCCAGTCCTCCAATGCCTTCCGCTCTGGAATGGCAACAGCCACCAGAAACGACTCGAAACTGCTCCCGTATACCCATATCTACTTGTCAACAAAAATCCAGGACGAGTCATCAATAACATACATATTTATATGAGCACTACTTATATTACAAGACAAGTTGTTTCTTCACATACGGACGCAACAAGCGAGCATTGGCAATATGCACTTTCAATGTTTTCAACAGCAACGTATTCTCCTTGGGACAGTTTAAAGATGTTCTTTTTCCTATCAATTATCTTCATTGCACCACCGGGTTGCCATTCTCCTATGTCACCTGCAACCATGAGTTCAAGAATTACTATACTTGAATTTTGACTGTCAAAATTACTATTGGAACATCGAATTAAATTTAATTCACCTGTATGAAACCATCCGTCTACAAATGCCTCATCTGTAAGGTCCTGGCGCTTGTGATAGCCAGAGAAGAGGGTTGTGCCCCTCAAACAAATCTCTCCTTGAGGCGTAGCAGAGAGAGCATCATAACCCATCTCCGGTACTGATTCCAATCTGGCCTCTATTGTCGGGACTGGAACTCCAACCGTCCCCATCATTGGGAAAACATTGGCTATTGATGTGAAACAACCCGCACCGCTTTCTGTAAGACCTGAGTACCACAGCCCACAGATCATTAATCACAGAAATTCTTCTTTCAACCTATATTGTTCTCAAGCATTGTATATGTAACTTTAATTAAATTGATTATTACCATATCCTTGTAGAAAAACACTGCAGCTTGTGACCCTAAAGAATTCCTCGACATGTTTAGGAACGGGTGCTGCACCTGATAGCATCAAACGTATGCGACCTCCAAGTCCTTGTCGGATCTGTTAGTCATATGTATATATACCGTTTATGAGGGACGCATGAAAACGATGATTACCATACTAATTAGAAAACATAAAGATTGTTAACACAGACTTTATTGAAGACAAGCTTGTCGAAGAAAGGTGATGCCTGGTCTTGTTTGAATCCCGCCATTAAATTTTTCAACTTGCTGAGTGAAACATATATAGGAGGCACGCAAAAAAGTTATTTATCTACTTTTAATTGAAGCTGGTACACGACAATAAATAACAATTTAGAATGAGGGTTAATGAAATGGCATACTGTTGATAAGCATATTCGAATATTTTTTTGGCTAATATTCCTCCAGATTGAATCTTTTGATTGATGCCTGCAGTTCAACAAAACGCCGACCATTATATGTAGTTGCCGAGCTGTTGTTAACAACTTGTAAACAGATCCAAAGTAATTTATATTATATATATGGTTCATCATGCTAGTGAGAACCTGTGTATATGCGTTCATAAACCCTTGGCACGCCGCAAAATAATGTGGGTTTTAGCTCTTGAATATCCTCCATCAGACGCCGAACATCCTGAAGGTCAGATTCAAGGCCCCAATTGACTCCTTAATATTGTTGTAGATTAAGGAAAAGGATCAAATTAAAGCATCATATATACCCCTTGCCAAAATCCGATGGAGGCGCCCTTATAGATGCAATAGTTCTCCATTATCTGATCAAAAACATGGGCTAGTGGGAGAAAAGACAGGTATGAATCTTCTTCAGTCAGCTACATTGAAACAATACAAGTCACAAATATAACTAACTGGACACTACAAATATATAAAAAATCCTTAACACATTATACAAGATAATTTGAATTTTTTGGCGCATTACCACTTTATCTGTCTCTAAAAGTAGATACTCTATGTTAAGAACTTGAGCGACAACAACTTTGTTAGACAAGACGACTCCTTTGGGTTCTCCGGTAGTTCCGCTAGTGTATATAATTGTGCAAACGTCATCCTTTGATTTTGATGGAAGTTCACAACTTTCATTGAACTCCTGAAACAAAAAGCTAGTTAGCGTATTGCAATGGCATTTGTGCCCAAACTGTAGATATTTAACATAAAAAAAAAAGTTCTTGATGGTGAACTAACTATTTACAAATGTCATCCTTGTTTATTTTTCTTTTTCTTGGTGATAGGTTTTATTTTTGTTGGCATGATTACAGAGGAATAACTAGCAAAACAAATATTATGCTTGATGCGTGCTAGAAAATTCATGGCGGTAGAGTAATGGATTATCGTCTTAGCATTGCACGATAATTCAACACACACTCAGATGAAACTGAAACAACCAATGATGACACCAGAAGTTTTTACGTGAAAAACCCGTAAAGGGAAAAAACTACGGGGTCTGACCCAGTTATAAAAATTCACTATATGTTGATGATTGCAGCGGCCCCTTGTCTCACAGACGGGAAAGTGTTACTAGATTTTCAGATTACAACGTCGTCTGACGGTGTCCGGTCAACGGTGGTCGGCGATGATCGACGATGGTCAATGATGGTCGGCAGTGGTCGACGGAGGTCGGCGGTGGTCGCCGACGATCGGTGGTGGTCGACGAAGGTCAACGATGGCAGGGATGATGTTGAACTTGTGCTTTTTCTCAAAGCCTCTAGTTCTGACAATGACAGGGATGATGTTAAACTTGAGCTCTTTCTCAAAGCCTCAAGTTCTCTCTTTGGCGGTGGTCGACGAAGGTCCGCGGTGGTCGACAGAATTCAACGGTGATCTGTCATAATCGACGGTGGCCGGTGGTGGTCGACAGAGGTCGGCGGTGGTCGCCGACGATCGGTGGTGGTCGACGAAGGTTGACAATGACAGGGATGATGTTAAACTTGAGCTCTTTCTCAAAGCCTCAAGTTCTCTCTCAAGTTTCTCATCGTCGACCTTCGTCGACCACAACCGATCGTCGGCGACCACCGCCGGCCACCGTCGATTACCGCGGATCACGACCGACCTCTGTCGACCACCGTCGACCATCATCAACTGTCGTCGACCACCGCTGACATCTGTCGACCACCGCTGACATCCGTCGACCACCACCGACCTCCGTCAACCACCACCGACCATCATCGACCACCGTCGCTCACCGCTGATCGTCATCCACCATCGGTCATCGCTGACCACCGTTGACCGGACACCGTCAGGCGATGCTGTAATCTGAAAATCTAGTAACGATTTTCTGTTTGTGGGACAAGAAGCCGTTGTAACCATCAACATATAATGAATTTTTATAACTGGGTCAGGCTCCATGAATTTTTTTATTTATGGGTTTTCCACATAAGAACTTCTGGTGTTATCACTGGTTATTTCACTTTCATCTGAGTGTGTGTTGAATCCTCGTGCAACGCTAAGACGATAATCAATTACTCTACTGCCGCGAATTTGCAACGCTAAGACTAGGTTGTCACCGTCGACCGTCATCAACCGTCGTTGACCGCTGCTGACATCCGCCGACCCCCACCGATCGTCGGCTCGGACCACCACCGACCATCATCGACCACCGTCGATCACCATTGATCGTCATCCACCGTCAATCATCGCCAACCACCGTTGACCAGACACCGTCAGACGACGTTATAATCTGAAAATCTAGGAACTCTTTCACGTCTGTGGGACAAAGGGCCGTTGTAATCATCAACATATAGTAGATTTTTATAATTGGGTTAGGCCCCGTGGTTTTTTCCCTTTACGGATTTTCCACGTAAAAACTTTTAGTTTCATCACTGGTTATTTTACTTTCATCTTATTGTGTGTTGAATTCTCAAGCAACGCTAAGACGATAATTCATTACTCTACCTCCGTGAATTTTATAGCACACGTCAATGCTTTATAAATCAATTTACATGAACAAGTGAATGACCTGAAATGCATTCATGAATACAAGAAAGCGCAAAAATGACCCTAAGAAATTATGATTTTTTCTAAATTTGGACCTCACCGATGAGATAAATTCATTCCAAGAAAAACAGTTTACTCCAACTTTCTCTGCTTCCTTTTTCTGTTCACCAGTAACTATACCAAAGCTTACAATTGCTGTGGAGTTTAAGACATAATTAAATTTTTGTTACCACCAAATTATTTACTCGATGTTATACAAATCTAAAAGAATGTTTATAAACGAATTGCTTATCAACATACTCCTGAGAAAAGCAGAACATCCCGGAAGGCTCTTCAAGATCTGTAAAGATAGTGATGAAAAGAGCATGCACTCTGATTAGGTTAACAAAAAAACAGGAGATATTCAGTCATAAGACATGGAATAAATATTCCTTAAAGGTGGCGGATAAATTAAGCTTACAAATGGTATCTTGTTTTCTTGAATAAAAACAAATGAAACTTCTGCATGGTTGAGTATGAATTCTATTGCATCAGCACCTGCGCCACGCAAAATCTGCTAGCTCATATCCAAAACTCTAAAGAATCTGTCGTTCTAATTGAATATAAAAGGCTTAAAAGTTTTGTTAAACATTACTCTTAAAAAGCACATTTGAGATTTGGGCATCTTTATTTTATTGGTCTTAAAAAATTATAAGCTAAGCACAAGTAAAAACAGATCAGCAGACATAAATTCTCAGGAATAGTTTTGTGAAGTACGTTTTCTTATCAAGCAACAGGGAGAAGCTTCCTACAAGATGTTTCATATCATGTAACAAAGCTATTGGAGCCCATCCACACTGATATTTGTGAACCATTAACTCAAACATCATTTTTGAGGAACATTATTTTTAAATTTTTATCAACAATCATAACACTAATGCTTAATTATATCTTTTTGTACAGAAATCAGAGGTATTTAATGCTTTTAAAAAACTAAAAATAATGATAGATAATTAAAATGGTTGTAAAATTATAACAATCCAATCCAATCATGATGAAATACTCACATCTAAAACCTTTGAAGATTATTTTTAACAAACTAACACCATATGCACCATAACAAAATTGGTAATCACATTAGCTATGAATTCAACCCACACAATTCATTTTAGATTGTATCATTTTAGATTGAATTGAGATTGGATTGAGTCATCTCATGACAATATTTGGTTTATTCAAAATTGGATTTAGTGAGTTCAAGTTAATCTTATGCCATGATCAGCCCTACTTAAATGTCAATCAATTTAAGAGCACTGAAAGGCAATTGCTAAAAAAAGAAGTGGAGAATAAAGAAGCTACATACCCAAGGTATCGTATAAAGGTACATAGCATATTCCTTGACTATAACAAGCCTGTAATAAAACATAAATAGGTCAAATGAGTCAAAGACAAAATAATTATTTGTTTCTCTTTATTTTGTTCTTTTTTATTGAGCACTATTTAGGAGATAGTGCATAACTTGCATTTTTTTTTGCTTGTTTTCGCATAAGAAAAAATAATAATAATAAAATCCATTGGTGAGAAACTTGTTAGTTGAGTTTTAATGTCAAAATTTATGTTATAGCATTATGCTTGAATTCGGAATATCAAAAATGGCTAAGAGAACAATACCCACATTACGTTTAATATAATAATATATAGATCCCCATCAACTGCTAAGTTTTGGTCACTACATATAATTTGTCACTACCTTTATATTATTAACTTAACTCTTATTCCGCCTTTTTTTATGGCATTATTCTCCACTCTCAAGTGAATCTATTTTAAGTAAAACATACAAAGAGTTCCCATTTAATCATGTGAAGCCTTCATAGGAACCACTTGGTCTTCCATTGTGCTCAAAAGCACTATAAACAACCAAGTTCCATTGGACTCATAATTTGCAAAATAAAAAAAAATTAATAAAATAAAAAATTAAAACTTAATTGCAACTAAACAATATGCTATTGTTGTGAGATATGTACTTCCTGACATAGAAATGAGACGCAAAGAACATAAGCAAACTAAGCAAACACGGATCGTTTACGTCAACTGAATCTACGTCCACGGGAGGGAATCAATCAAATAGTTCACTAAGACAAAAGAAATGGAGAATACATAACTTATACATAGAGATGAGCCCTCATCTTCCTTCTATGACCTCCGGCGTACTTCGTGTGCTTCTGTCACGGCTTGTCTAGCTGTCGCAGAAATCCTCCTCCTTCGTGAGATCTGCTCCTTCGTGGACCGAACGACCCTCCTTCCTCTGCTTCTTCACGGGAAGTTCCTCCTCCTTCTCGCCGAACCGCACAACCTGCGGTACTAATCCAGTTGATCAAAGCTTTCACTGCTCACCGAATCTATCACGATTCGGTTGCCTGTGACACGATCCTCTTGCTCCTCTGTTCGTGAATGCCGAACTCCTCTTCTTCGTTGCTGACCGCGAACACCTTTACGCGGACACCTCTAGCCAAGAAGTATGTGGATCTTCCCACAGACGGCGCCAATTGTTGTGAGATAAGTACTTCCTGACATAGAGATGAGACGCAAAGAACACAAACAAACACAGATCGTTTACGTGGTTCGATCCAACTGGATCTACGTCCACGGGAGGGAATCAATCAAATAGTTCACTAAGGCAAAAGAAATGGAGAATACATAGCTTATACATAAGGATGAGCCCTCATCTTTCTTCTATGACCTCCCTCTCAAGCGACACCTTGATACAAGGTCTCAAGATGCTCTCCTCCTCTCTAGCTCTCTAGCTATTCTCTCCTCCTTTGTGGTAGCTTAAGATCTCTTCACTTGCTCTCCTAGGTCTCACACCCTCTCTATTTATAGAAGCAAGAGAGTGGTAGGTGGGGGGGAGGGGGGCGGTAGGTGAGCGGGAGAGGAACAGGTGAGCGGGGTCACATTACAAAATTACCATTTTATTTTAGTTCATTAATTAGGGTCAAAATAATAGCTATCATGTCATAGATTGCCAGGAGACCAAGTTATATACGAGTAAATAAGCACTAGTTTACTAATGGTTCAAGTTATAAAAGCCAATGTTTCTAAATAGAAACTTAATTATTATTTTATTTTTGATCTATGTGAGGCTATACTCCACTCTTACAAGAATTTTAACAGAGTTTGCCTATTTATTTCATCATGATGGGTATTGCTTTTATTTTCTTGGTTCGGAGGTTAGTAAAAGCGCAATTATTAGAATTTGTAGTTGTACCTCCATGACGATTAACCACTCAGGGCAATTTGATCCATAAATGCCACAACGGTCACCCTGTAGTAAGGAAATTAAGAAATATTTCACTAATTAATATTCCCATAACTTGCATGATAAAGCTGAAGGAATGATAAGAATCAGATTCTTGATATATATATAAATGTATGTGTGTGTTAAACAGAGAGATATTTGCTCACAGGGCAAAGACCACCACATCTTCGCATGGCAGTTCCAATCTTGATAGCTTTTTCATAGGCTTGTTCGTATGATTGCCATATATAAGCGCTTGCCTAAACATTATTCAATCAACGATTTAAACTACAACTGTAGATTGGGAGTGATGGTATGCCAATAATTCATGTCGTTATAATTCATACCTTCTCATTAACAATCTGCCGATGACCAAGCATTTGTCTTTGAGGAAATCTTTTGACAGATTTGCTGTAAGGGATCAAAGGAAAAAGAAGAAAAAAAATTAATTAACATTCAATCTCAATTATGATTTTCCAACATTATGTAAATCAATTCCATAAAAGCTTCTGAAGAGCCCTGTTCTTATTCAACGCTTCGAACAGAGGCCATAACACCCTTCACGAACAGATGCCTTAACATGAGCTCTGGATTAGATTTTTTTTTAGATTGTATTTTAAAGCTATCAATGGCATGGAGCAGTAGTTTAAAGAATTAATACAATGTGAAGAAAATAATTGAAAAACTTCTACCAAAGTGTTTTTCTTTCCTTTTCTTTTTGGAGAATTTAATTGAGAATAGAGACAAACAACATAAACAAGATTAGAAGCCTAATATCACCAACAAAAAGTCACATGTCAGCTAGGTGTAGAGCCGAAAAGTAATATTTAAGTCTTGGTTGCCCGCCTCTCTTAAGAGCTCTTTTGGGAGGTGATACTAAGCTCATAACCAACTAAGGTGAACTAAGGTGGGCTGTAAACTTAATTTAAATTAATGCATGTAAAAATGAAGAGATTTGCATGTAATGTACCAGAACAAGTTCCAAGGAGAATCTATCCCTGCAGGCAGTTGGAGGAAACCATTTTTGGCGTAAACGCATCTGTAGACAGGACCAGCAGATGGCTTGCGTCCGACAGCGGCCACAGATTCTTCCACCTCAACTCTATATTCCTCCATTGCTTCCCCACGCTTTTCGATCACTCTTTCTGCTTTGTATGAATGTAAGTTCTTCAGCTGCGATGCGTCAGCATGCCAGTTAAGTAGCATGTACAGATGAGAGAGATGGGTTGAGCAGCCAGCTTCTAGTTTAGCACCCTTTATATTGTCTTAAATTCACAACAAACGCTTTAGTGGCTGTAATAAATAGGATGCCTTTCCGGTTGGATGTTGATCACTATTTAAAATGTGGGCCACCCGATTAAAGACTAAGAAAAAAAAAGTGGCAGTATGGGTTGCCTCAATTAGCATGTGTTTGAAGCATTGTAACAGATAATTCGGTGAGCCTGGATCTCGGACTGGAACAATAAATAAGGCTGATTATAGTATTAGATAAGAAGTAACAAACAATCAATTTGGAAATTAAAAAATAATACTGTACTGTAATTTTGAAGAAAATCAAGTGCCTTTCTGAGTCTTAAGAGAAATTAATTCATGTCAAAAAGAATACTCGTAAAGCAAACAATGATATAAAAGGCACTTGCCAAAAAAGAGGACAAATTTGGTTTAATATCAAAAGGTTCAGTATATATACAGATTTACGAATCAAGAATTATAACTGATCTAAAGCAACTGAGATCATAAAGAACTAGAACTCTAAAGCAACTGAGATCATGAACATTATATCCACTGTTGGAATATAGAAAACTAAGATTTTTATAAACTCACAATCATAAAAATGCAATTCTCAAACTCACGCAAATTCTATTTAAAAGTTATACTTCTTTTACTCTTCCTCTCTTCTCTTTTAGTTGATACTTAATGCATAACACATAAAGGAATGAGGTATTTAAACATAATTAGAAGTAATCAACACCACAAATTATTTACCAACCAAAATAATCTCAACCCTATATTTTTCACCTATCAAACCTACCATACACAAGTTAAATAAGTTTTACCTAACAATTGAAGTTTTAATTGATGAAGGAGTTCTCTCGCAAATACAGTATTTTGTTGTATCGTGATCACGTGGTCTCCCATGATTATGGGATTCCGCATGTCTCATAATCAATCCAGTGAGCACGGGATAGCCAATTACGATTGAATCTTGTCCCAATATGAGAGATTTCTGCGATCTGCGAGCAAGACAAGCTGGATTTCTCATTATTTTATTGACAAAGGCCTTTAGGGCCCTATTTTTCTTTATTTTTAAATTTGAATTAGGGTTATTTTGATTGCGGACTATTTCACTTTTATTTCCTATTTTTTCATACTTTTGTTTGGTTTTCTATATTTTGGAGATTGTGTTATCTGATTTCTGCCTCGAAGAATGATTTATTGTCTTTCTTTTCCTAGTAGTATCTTAGTAACTTGTTTAGGAACATGAGGTGAACCTCCTTACCATTTGCACTTTGCTATGTCATCATTCAAATTGCTATTTTCAGTTAGATTACAATCTAACTTCTCCATGTGTTATTCAACAACATATTTCACCTCATATCCCCTTTGGACCTTCATCACCACCCCTAGTCTCATTCTCATACAATTTCACAGCCACCTCCCCATGAAATCTGATTCATGAACACCTTTCTTAATGTAGTTTCTAACCAAATCCCTAAATTTCAAATGTTAACCTTCTTCCCCCACCAAAAATCCACCTCAATGCCAACTATCAAAACTCTAAACATCAACCAATCTTTGATATACAAACCTGCAATTGTTGAAATTCTGATTGAATGAAAGAAAACATAATGTCACCCAAGAATAAACTTCAACGAGATATTAGGGAACTCACTATGGATGACATGCAACGAGAAATCCTTCAATTGTACGGAGGTTTGCTGATTTTGAGAGAAGGCAACACAAGAAAATAACTCATAGCAATAATGATGAACACTCATACGACGGAAGTGAAGAAAATCATTTTCACAAGAAAGATTTGAGTGATGAAAAGTTGATGTTGCTTAGATTCAACATTAAGTATTGTACAATTTTCCTTTGAGTACATGAACGTTCCATCTAACTGAAGGGTAAAACTAACTCCTATTAAAAGGTTAAAATTTTTGAAGCGCCTACACAAGCATGAGAAATAGTAAAATCACTAAACGGGCCAAGATGATAAGAGATACAAAGAAAATACCCCTAGCACATTACAAACATGATGTGTTTTTTAGACTTCACCACTTACAATAAAAAGGTCTCTTAATAGAGGAGTACGATGCTGAGTTCAAGCAGCTTATGTTGAAATATGGATTAGTGAAACTCAGGGATAACATTATTGCCCGATACCTAGGAGACTACTACTATCCATTAACAATAAGGTACGATTACATCCCTTTTAGATATTATAAGATGCCTAGACCTTAACCCTGGTAATATCATTCTAAGGCTCCCAAAAGGTGTTAAGGAAATGGGCTTAGAGTGAAGGTTAAGGTGGAATAACAAAAGAATGATAATATGCAAGGTTGTCGGAGTTTGAATGGGGATAAGCATTTTCGGCGGCTATTGCAACTATAAACGACTATCGCAGCTAAAAACAACAAAGTGAGCTATTAATTAGAATTAATCAACACCACAACTATAAGAAAATAAATCCATAAGAAACATATTCATAAAAAAAATAAATAAAATGAGGGTTTAATAGATTTTTTTACACCTACAACTGTAATACAAAAATAATTAGAATTTATTTTATTCTCTAAAAGCTTATAATTCGTTATCATCCAATCAAATTTAATCATAATAAGACAAATATATATATATATATATATATATATATATATATATATAAGAAGAAAACATATGAATAAACAATTGCCCTAATTTTTCAAAAGTACGACAAACTATATCTAATTGTTTAGTAAATCATGTATTATATAACATAATAAATTGATACAAAAAGTAGCTAATCATCATCAATCTATTCATCATCCTCCTTCTGCTCTTCAACCACTAACTCCTTTTCTCTCTATTTGTCATGGCGCATCTTCTCAATTATTGCTTCATAGTAGTCATGCGACCTTCAAATAGAGGAGTCGCATGGGTCTCAATATCATAAGCAAATACAACAACACACTTTTGATCAACTCATCAATCAAATTAGTGTGTTATTTAGAGAATAAATGTCATGTGTCTTATGCCAAGTCCCGTGAACATAAGTCGTATATTCTTCCTTTCATTTTTTTCTCTAATATTTTCACTCAATATTCTCAACTATGACTGCTCCAAATGACCACTCAAACTACTTGCACCCTTTGAACTTTGACACTATGTTTCCTTCAACCTCATGTAGTAATTGACCGGCGACTTTATATATGCTGAAAAATACAAGTATTTAATATTGCTGCTAGAAGATTTAATTCCTCAGCAACGACATCAAAAACTTGACAATGATTATAGATTCGATAAAGATGTATATATATAATATTTAATAATGGTAAAGTCACACTTATCAACGCAAGTATACGTATCGCTCAAGTAATATAGGGCTCTAATGGAGTTCTAGATATCGATCCCACAGGGAGTAATATTAGAGGCTGCGAACTAAGATTATAGAAAATCAATATTTAATCACAACAATATAGTTCAAGTTGTTTATCTGTCACTAATAGACAATTGAAATAAATATGTAATTTTAATAACTCTTAAATAACTAATTCAACTAATAAAGTTTCTAAAGTGAAATTCAATATATAAGAAAACATCCTTCTCCTTATCAAGAAATTATAGTGAGTGGATAAAATGAATCAGTTCAAATTGAATTGTGTCAAATAGGAGCATACTTTTTCTTTACCCTTTGGTCCAGGCATAAAGCACATAAACTAATCATATGCTTGGTTACTGATTTTGCAGCTAGGCTGGGAGGATACCGGTTCTCACTTCGGAGAGCCCACATTCCCCTTCCCCTTGCCTGAGGGCTAACATCTACACTTCAGCACCCAAATGATAGAACCAAATTGAGGATTTTAGTCTGTCGCTCTAAAATCTCTAATTCCACGCCCGATAATTTTATTTCTCTATTTATTTGCACCCAACTTCCAAAGGCTTTGACCTCCATGAATCTTGGATGTAATCTTCACTTTAGTTGTAAAACTCAATTGTTGGCATCGATTTTTGATGTCATGTATGTCTGGGACATCAATATTACCTAAGGAGGGCGTCCATGACGTTAAGTTTTCGCGGGCGAGGTAAAAATGTGCAAATTATCGTTTTGAACCAAATTACTGAAAAAGTGGTCTGAATGACCCCGAATGACGAAACAGGTCACACTAGTGCGTCCGGAACGTCGATTTTACCTAGGGGAGAACTTCATTTCGCTATGATAACGTGTTAGGCAAAAAAAATGCGGAGAGATAATAATAATAATAATAATAATAATAATAATAATAATAATAATAATAATAATAATAATAATAATAATAATAATAATAATAATAATAATAATCTCTTAAAACTTACGTTTTGAACTTACGCATGTTCCCCCTCTCGATCGATTCGCGAAAAACTACCCCGGATCCCTCTCCTCCGTCGCCGGCGCCCCCCACCGCCCGCCCCCCCCCGCCCGCTCCGCTATCCGTCTCCGTCTTCTTCTTCTTCTTCTTCTTCTTCTTCTTCTTTTTCTTCTTATTCTTCTTCCTCTTCTTCTTCTTCTCCTAATTTTTCTTCTTCTTCTTCTTCTTCCTCTTCTTCTTTTTCGCCTCTTTTTCTTTTTTTTTCTTCTCTTTCTTCTTCCTCTTCTTTTTCTTCTTTTTCTTTGACATCCCGCCAACCTCGCCAGATTTCATTCACCCCGCCGACTTTCACCTTGCCGGTGTTGTGTTTTCGTCGGAGTAAAACGGCGAAGAAAGACGTCAATTTTTTTGGGGCTTTCTCTTGCGCCTCCTCCACTTTCAGCATTCACCGTCGATAAATTAGCATACGTCTCCTCGCTGGACAGCGAGCGTTGCCACTGTTCGAGGAAACGCTTGCATCTTTTACCTTGTGGGTTCCCCTCCTTCACCGTCGTCGAGCGATCCTCTCTCGCGAAGGTACCTTTTTTTCGTGTTGCATATTTTTATATGCTAAATTATTTATTTTTGGTACTTCGCATACCTCACTGATCCCTTCCTCTCTTGCCCTTATTGGATCTGTTTTTATCCT